GCTTATACTTTGTTTAGGTTCGTTTCTATTGCAAGATATGTTTTAAGGCTCTAAGTATTGGCTCTCCAGGGACAAAGATTAAAATATTCCGTGAACCGTGATATTGCTTACTTGCATTCTATATTGTGACGCCGCAGGTGACGCCGGGCCCGGTTATTTGATTAGTACTGTTTGCAAGCACAGTGCGTTGCACGAATATCATATTTATCTTCGTCCAGCTTTTCTTTGGAGACTGCCCTAGCTTTACTTTGGGAAAGCTATACGTTTTCCTAGAGACGTTCTTATGTTTTTTGCATCAATTTGATCGAGTGCATTCAAAGGACAAACAACAACTACTACGGGATGAAATTGCGCTGCCAGACCCAACTAGGGTCTCTCTTCGCTCGCTCCAGGGGACGGTAAGATAAGAGACCGTGGGAACGAGGTTGTTTCGCCTTGTCCTCTCTTTATGAAAGAAACACCGGAATTCAAAAAAGTCGCTTGAATCAAGTTAAATCGGTAAAATAACCACACCAGGAGCTAACAAGACACGTATGGAATAAGGTAAGCCATTTTTATTGAGAATTTACACTTTTAACTACCTCCATGGATATCTTGTAGAAAATCCCATATAAACCCTTATAATTCGATGCCATATATATGTGTTGCTTGTGTGGTTCATAGAGAGCTTGGGCTGCCTGTGGTGACGCAACAGTATAACGTACATGAGGTATTTTAAAAAGTGCCCCTGTTGTTCTTGCAGTACACATGGTATGTACGAAACTCTCTGTGTTTTTGGATGTTTGTCAATTTTTTCCCTCACGTTTGTACGAGGCTTAGTTGTATCACTTACCATTATTACATGCTATAGGCTCACGGTTTGCTCAGGTGGGAACTTAACGCTCTACATGTTTTAAACGTGCTGCACAAAATGGCTTCCACAGCACGTGTAGTGTGCTGGCAAAACCGCGAAGAATGGTTATATGTCTATAGAACGTTGTTCAACTTTGACAAACCAGATGCTCAAAGGAAAGCAGTAGATCGTGTAGCTGCATGGAAAAGCCGAAGTGTGGGTAAACTTCCCCTCGCAATCGAAAGTACAGCAAACCTTATTTCGGCTCATTTAGGACTGGTGGATTTAAGAACAAGGGCCGTCGAAGGGCGATTGACTTTAGCAATGGCAATAGTTCGCTTTGTCAATGGAATGGTCGATCAAGTTCAAAAAGGAAAGTTTGCACGTTCAGTGCAGTCAATTGGAGAAGAAATTGGTTTACCTGGTTGGCTTATTGACTTGAGGCACGAAGCAACACATTCAAGCTTGCCATCAATGGAAACTTTGCATTGTGGCTTACGGGCTAGTTTGTCGTGGTTGCAGGATGAATACTGGGAGGCTCAGCTTAACATGCACGAGGATAGCATGGAGAAACTACAGCAGCTGCTCAACAAATATAGAGATGTTGCCTTGAGGCATGTTCTAAAAAGAAAGAAGGTAACTAAGTTCAAGAGCAACAGTGAACTGACAGAGATATCAAACGAGATTACAAGCTTGATATCCATGAGCAATTTATGGTAAGGGAAAGGTGGTGCACTGCTGTGCCTACCATTTAATTTAAGAGTGCAGTCTTGTGATATTCTCTCTACTGCCTTATACAAACTCACTTATTTACTTTTAAGTAAATAGGTGTGGTAAAACCAGTCAGTGTGAAATGCAGATTCCCAACTGCAGACTGGTGGAAAAAGGCAAACTGCAAACCAGGGGTAAAATGTAGACTGCAGACTTTTTAAGTTTATGTCCAGTTATTTCCTCTCGATCATGGAAATGGTAACACAATATACATTAAAATGCATTCACCCTTGGTCTGCAGTGTGCAGTGTGCAGTGTGCTGTGTGCAGTTGGCATTTTGCACTGACCACTAGTAAAACCGCTGTTTACATGTATATTAGAAGTTTGAATTCACAGCAATTTGATTCTTATATTAATATGTGATCTGAAAAAAAATGTCTCAAGGTATGTGTTGCGAAGTCTCACCTTTAATGGTCAGTGAAAAGTCACTTCATGGCCACATTAACGTCGTGTTTTCCAGAATTTTGTATTTGAACAATAATGGCACTGTCTAACTAACTGATCAGAAAAGTGAGATGCATTCAGCCTTTAAGGCATCTATATACCCCAAATAACTAACATTCTTTGGCACCTCTGTACAGTCATTCATTTAACCAACCCCCCCCCCCTGCCCCCCATAAAAAAAACCCTGGCAAAGCTTAAGAATCATACATAAGAAAGATATATTTATCTGCATGATTATAAGGTTCAATTCCCAAAGGCACAGAGGTTTATTAAGTTTTTTAAGTTTTAAGTTTATTAAGTTTTTTTCTGTTCAGATTTTAGCAAGACAAAGGCGATTGATGAAAGTTGATTTTTGATCGCTTGCCTGGTTTGTTTTTGACTAGCAGTTAAGGGTACCGTATACCTTTAGAGGTACCTTGCGTCCAAGCGATGAAGCTGGATGGTCCAGTTTAAACTGCAGATAAAATTAAAGCTTATAGAGCTGGCTATCATACTATACCAAGAATTTTGAAATAAATGAATTGTCAAATTTTTCAGGAATATCTGAATCACCTTTTGAAAGCTACAAGTCAACGGGAATTTGTTCGTTTATCCTCAAATTTGGACAGTAGCTAGCAGTAACTTGTACATACAAATTTTTGGTTTCGAAATATTTTTTCTCAAAGAGCGATTTTTGTATGTTCACTTCATATTCATTCGTAATATACCCATAGATGGTGAAGAATACAAGAGAATATATGAATTCACTTGAATTTTTTTCAGGCTTTAATTTCACAGCTGCTTAAGTTGTGTGCAGAACTGTCATGATTAGTCATGTCTGTATGCATTATTGTTATCTTGCTTCATGAGGTTACAAATAACGGTGTTTTTTACAAGTCAGGCTGAATGATAAATTTTTCTTTTGGTAGCTAAGAGACTTTGATGTGGTTATAATTTTGATTTTTCAACTTCTCTGTCTGAGCATAATCAAAATAATGGTACAATAATGCCTGTAAACCATCCAAGTCAAGAGTGACTGTTATATTTCTGATTAATTGATTTGTTAATTCAGGTCCCTTGTGCCAAGTGTTTTGTATCACAGAGGCATGCTGGTTCCCTCTTGTGAACAGCTGGATACACTGAAAATCAGGTGGCCAACAGAACACAGCCCTTCTGCTTCATTCATTACTGATGTTCCAGTAGAGATTATCAACATGTGGAAGCCATTAATAGAAGCACTTGATAAAGCATCTTCAGAATTTATTGCCTCTGTCATATTTTACTTCCTTCAGAATCAGTTAGATGTTCCTGGCAGTCAAACTGAGGTTATTTCTCATGGATATGCTGGATGGGTAAAGCACTTTTTGGAATCAAAGGGAGAACCTTCTCTGGTATTGACTGGTGATCTGCCTTGGGTGAACTTGTTGAGAACTGCACTGGATAATCCAACACTGTATTCTGCGACATTTATTCCATTGTTCTTAGAGAACATCCCTTCAATTGATGCTGTGTTAAAAGAAAGACTTCAACGTCTGGTTGCCATTTTTCTTGGACCATTTTCTTCAGCCTGTGATAGTTCTAATGATTTAAACAAGTCTCAGGATGTTGATCTAGAAGGCTGGATGGCCGGCAGAAGAGAAACCTCCATGGAAACATCACTGCAACAGAGTGAACCAACACGTGGGTGGGAAGTCAGCCGTGCTTTAACACAATGGCATTTAATCCCATGTGGGGAAGTTTTAGGAACAGCTGATGTCACTCCTAATAATTTAGAATTACCACCAGCCTTAGTGAATCCATAAGACAAGCACACAGCAGAAGTGTTATGAACACATATTGATTAAAATGGCTAGCAATGACGGTTAAACTTTTGGCAGCCATGATTATAGTGATAATGTCAGTGTTCTTTCACGCAGGCAGTCCTAATTACATTGAAACATGCAAGACGTTCATCGTTATGGGTAGTAGCAATAACTGATATTGATGTTGATAGTAAGTTTGATAGTTGTTGTGTTTGCATTGTATAAGTCTGTATGTGTGTAAAGTCAAGCCAGTAGACTGTGTCAGGAATTCTTCTGGTGTCTGCTTGAACAGCTTCCTACAGAACGTGTCATTGAAAATAATTGCTTCATTCATGTAGCTGTATGAGGGTAAGGTTTTACTACTCTCACTGAATCCTTAATTTACCTGTGCATTACTTTAACAGCTATTATTTACAAAGAATTAGAAAACCAACCCTCTTATAACATACATGCCTACCTGCCTGTCTGCATACAAGAGATTATACACTGTAAGGAAAATGAAAAACAACTGAAAAAATGAAATAAAACAGGAGAGCCATTACTCCATACTTAGAGGGTCACAAGGGCAAACCAAGTTCCTTTTTGTTCATGTATGGATCACTTGGAGGTAAAACAGTAATGTATGAAGTCATAACATTTTTGTACCATAGCCAGCATGTAAAATTTGCAAAACAGTTTCTAGTACTTTCCATGACTTAGATTTTGATGGGTCATTATAACCACTCTCTATCAGTTTATGCTACAAACATGGTATCAAAAACTGCCCAATCATTGATGAACATGTTGTTATCATTTTCGTGACGAAATAGGTTACCAAAGCAACAATATAACCCGCTAAAAACATCCTTAATTTTTTTATTATAACCTCATCATTTTTAGGTAGTTCAGAGTTATTTCATGTGTTTCAACTTTTTCATGATCAGTAACACTAGTGATGACGTCATCAGGCCACGCCCATGGTCCTGTGACTAATACAGAAAAAATGCAAAGGCTGGATTTAATGAAAAACCGCGTTTCCTTTAGCATTTAAAGAAACCGGAAGTGAGCCCAATATCTATTGGAAGTTACCCTGTCAGCGCGTGCGCAATTTACACTACCAGCGCACTTCGGTGAGATCATGGGTAGTAGTACTATCCATGGTAAGATCAAACAAAGCCACACGCGCGCGAGCGCGCGCCTGGATCGGTTAATGAAATTTCACTTCCGGTTACTTACGTCAGCCTGAGCGCGGAAAATAAAAACAACTCAATAACTTCCAAATTCGCTTACATTTTAGATGTTTTTCTTTGTGTTTCACAAAATGCAAAGTAAAAAATGTACAAGCAGAGACAAAATAAGAAAAAGACAAAAACAAGAGCAATAGAAAGAGAAAAACTAACTCCGTGTGGCTTTCTCTGATCTTACCGAAGTGCGCTGGTAGTGTAAATTGCGCACGCGCTGATAGGGTAACTTGCAATATATATCGGGCGCACTTCCGGTTTCTTTAAATGCTACAGGAAACGCGGTTTTTCATTAAATCCAGCCTTTTTAATAGTTCCAGTGGCCACAAATAGTTTAATCTGTATCCCGCAAAGGTCAAAATTGAATCGACGGAAGAATACTCTGAGGCCAAGACCTACAAGAGTCATTCTCGTCCCCATAGCCCTTTTCGCTCCTCTTAGCCGGCAGGGCCTTGGCACGAGAATCGAAGGGTTATTCTCGTCCCAAGGCCCTACCGGCTAAGAGGAGCGAAAAGGGCTATGGGGACGAGAATGTACAAGAGTAAGCCAGAACTAAGGAACAGCAATGTAACTGCTGACTTATTTTTATTCATCAGCGGAAATAATAATTGTTGCCAGTCGCACGGAGTTTGTCCGGGAGTTTAATATAGCCAATGAAATATAGCTGTTCCCACGGTTAACATCCGAAAGCCAAGGCGATTCAAAGTTGTGGTCGTGAACAGAATTAGTAATAGTTGTCCCACGGCAGTTCTGCAACGAAAGCGCGTCATGTCGCATCCTGACAAAAGAGGCCACTCACGGTCCAGAATCAAAACAACAAAAAAGCGATTGCGAATGATCTAAAAGGCAAATGATCTCGTTTACACGTGCTTTGCGATGATGTAATTTGTTTTCGCCCGGCCAAAAAATATCACTTTTAGTCTGCAAATGGCCTGCATTCCCTTTTCCTGTCGAATGCAATCAGAATGAAAAACCAGTTCAAAGAAGACTCCAAAACGTTGAAAACAACGAAAGAAGCCACAAAAGAGAACAAGAATGACGTAGCAGATGGACAGGAAATGTACACCACATGGTTTGGCGATAATGTCATTCGTTTCGCCCCTGCTACGGGGCGGCCAAATCGGTGTCGCAAGATCGTACCAAGGTGAACCGTCCCATGAAACTTGACTCAAGTCTGCATTAGGACTGCGTCCTACGAACGCAACAATTTCGATATATCAAAATTCAGCCTAAAACAATAGACTTCAGTATGAGGCTCTGGGGAATAACTACAGCGTTTGTGGGGTTTATTCCCCAAAGCCTTGTGCTGAGGTCTATTATGTTAGGCTGAATTTTAATATACCGAAATTGGTCAATTGAACCCCGATAATTCGAATTGCCAAGGGAAATTGAAATTACTTCGAGTTATCGGGGTTTCGAGTTATAGGGTTTGTTTTAACAAAAAGACCAGAAAAACTTGATTAAAAAGGTTTTATGCTTATACATGTTTTTAGTGTAAGATTTCTAGCAATGTAAGAACATCAAAACGACAAAACAAACCAAGGAAACAAAACAAAAGCATGAAATATAAAGTAGCCGCTCTTCAGAATGTTTGGCGCTAAATCTCACTTTAACATTTGTTGAAAAATCTATTCACATGATTGATTTGAAAAATAGTGTCATAAGTCCCTGGCGTTTAGCAGCCATTCTGTCTCTGTCAATAATGTTGCACAACTTCTCAATGCCGGAGTTTAAGTCAACAAACTGATTGTTTAAAAACAGACTGTATGTTTGAAGCACATCAATTGCCGCTGACACTTCATGTTTGGAAGGTCCTTTGGGTGGGGGCGGTTCTTCGATAATCAAGCCATCATCGCCTTCTGCCCCACTATCCCCCAAAGAGCTAAATTCTGCGAGAATGTTTTGGTCTGACAGCCCCAGTCGGAGTTCGAGGGTGAGGACGTCATAGTCACATTCGGTTACGGTTGCTACACTGACTTCGGGAGAGATGACATCTGGGACTCGCTCTGTTTGGTCCGCAAAAGTGAAAATCGACTTCGAGGTATCGAGGGTAAATTTACAAAGAAAAGTACCTGAAGGTAAGTAAAAATTGCTTCGAGTTAGCGGGGTTTCGAGTTATAGGGGTTAAAATTACAGTAAATATATGAGGCAAATCCAAGGGAAATCAGTATTGCTTCGAGGTAGCGGGGAATTCGAGTTATCGAGGGTTCGAGTTATCGGTGTTCAACTGTAATTTGTTGCAAATATGTTCAAGCATTCCAATAAAGGGAATTTAAAAAAAATCATATTTGTCAGAGTTTTTCTAAAGTTTTAAATTTTAGTCTAGAAAGCCTCCATGTTGGCAAGTTGAACTGCAAATTAATCAAATCAGATTAACATGGCTCCTTGCGCAACCTCTGGGGCATGGAACATTTTGAATTCTAAAACCATCTTGGATGCAAAATTAGCCTGTTCAAGGATCTCAGTGGAAGAGGAGGGAAGTGAGCATGCTGATGCATATTACATGTAGCTGTCTACTAACTGAACGTTTGGCACAGGTGTAACGAAAATTGGTGTTGAAATACTCCACCTTAGGGTCATATAAGGCTATCTTAATCTTATCCTACTAAACTAGATTGCATGTTCCCTGCAATAATTGCATTGAAAAGATAAACCTACGCCTGACATTTATCAAATGAGAGTTGTGCAATTTAAAATTAAAGATCATTGAAGAGAACATTAAAATTCTACTACAAAAGCCTCAATTTTAAGCAGTTGGAAAACGTCACATACTGACTGAAACAATGAGAGCCCATTCTTGTATGTGACCACCTTCGACTGTATATGAAACACTGAATTCTTGTTGTCAGTAGTATTCTAGAAAGTTTGTTGGATGTGACAAACTTGCACTGTCAAAATGGACACAATTAATGTCCTTCGTGGAAATTAGACATGGTGATGGAAATTTTGCATTTCTATCATTCCATATGGAAGTATGCAAAACCATATTGAGGTTCTTTCCTGGATAGGGCGTGTGGAAAAAATGTCACGAGATACAAGTGGTTTTTAGGTTTTTTAGTTCAATTATGTTTCATGTGCATCTAGTGATGACTCTCTGATACCCCAGGCTCCCTAGTTCAAAGTGCTGTGATATTCATAGTCTTAGAAATAGAAAATCAACATTGTTTGGGTGGAAGGGGAATGTTTCCTGGACGATCGAAAACCAGTCACATTGGGGGTTTTATTAAAGAACCAATCAAATTATAAGTTAGAAAATGGGACGGTATGTTGTTAAAACAGATTGCACAATTTACAGAGGTAAATTTTGCTTCTTTCAGAAAGTTACTTTTTCTGTAACAACGTCCCTTAAATCTATACTCTCTTTCAGAGGTCTGGTTTGTTTAGATCAATAAAAATTTGAAGTGGTTTCTTGGAATGTCAAAACCAACGAAACTATACTCAATTTGATCAACAACTATTGCATTTAATTAGTTCTTGTTGTAAAATGCGTCCATAAAAATTACCCACCAATCTGCTTTTACCTAGCCTGCGAACAGGCTCCTGGGGCCCATTTCTCAAAAGCCCTGGAAACTTTTCGGGCCCCCAAAGCCATAGCAAAATCTCGAACCTTCCGATTATAGAGCTGTTTTATTGAAGAGAAGTTCCCTTCATACAAGAAGTTTCAGGCGCATACACTTCTCCGTTTTTAACTCGTGAATTGCGTGCATGCGCAAGAGCGAGTTGTAGATATGATGTGAAGAATGGCACCATTCTCGTCCCCAGAGCCTCCGTTTCTTTTGGTTACGTGGTCAGAGAAACGGAGGGCTCTGGCAGCAGCCATTACCGGATGTCCGTAAATCACGGACATCCGGTAACGCATGCGTAATTTTGGCCTGTATATCTGCTCATGCTCAGGAACTAATCCTGAGGGAGGGGAGAGAGGAATAGAGAGTATTCTTCAGATGTAAACAGATCGGAACGCTGAC